GGTTTAGGGTTTTGGGGGTTTGGGCAGGAATGGGGGGTGCCATCAACCAGTGCAAAGTGGATACAAGAGATACTGGGGGTTGGCAGGTATGTGGAGGGACTCGGAAAGTATACCTACAACCGCCCAAGAGAAGTATGGCAACCCTAAACCCCAGTTATTTCTCCAAAAAAAGCCCCTTAGTGGGGCGTCCTTCTTCAGAATTGAATGGGGTTTAGTTGAGAAAGCGGCGGTTTCCTCGAAGGATATTCAGGCTCAGAGTGCAAGGCTCAAGGTCTGCAAGTGATGTTCTCATGTTCGGATTTAGGGTTCACGATAAGTGCCTCGTTGGGAGATACCTCTTGAACGGACGATTGTGTTTTCTTTTAAGGGGGGGGGGGGGNNGGGCGTATCAACCTGGGTGAGGCGTGAAGAGGCCCGGCAGGTTTAGCGCTATTGCACATTACTGTACCAAGTCTTTGCTGCATAGTATCCAGAATTACGGCCGGCTCTCTTTGCAGAAGCCTCTCTCTCTGCCCTATAACCCCGACCCCCTCCACCCTGCGCACACATATGCCTCAAGGTCAGGCCCGCTTGTAATAAAGTAGCTTACCCATGGCCATATCTGTTCAGGGGGGTCTTCATGTTCATGAGTATGCGTACGGGATCAACCCCAGGTACGGGGTAAGGTGTAGTGGGCTTTCCACCACTCCTCCCGCGCGAAATCCAAGCCTTCCCGAAAGACAAAAGCCACAAAACACACCCTTATGAGGTATTAGGGTTCAGGGTTTAGGGACACTAAACCATAACCCCTAAACCCCTTAAATGTTGCCTAGCTCCAGCCCTATCACGCCAAGAAAAGGATGGAATCGTTTGGAAAGCCTACATGAGCGGTTCTCCAAGTAAATGTAACCTTCAACTTAAATATACATGGCACTTAGGACCCCTAATAAAGGTCAACCCTTAGGTACCTACAATAGGAATATACAGGAATCCCATAGGTTTAAGGGTCTCAGGTCCAAGCTGAGCCCCAAGGAATTATATAATCGCAATATGAACCCTGATAACTTGGTGGCTGTTCAGGAACTTAGTTAAACTAAGTCACTATACTACGGTAACCCTGCTATTTACCATGCACCCATGTTATGGTAACTGAAACTCTAAATGCTATATACCCGTATTATGATAACTTAAATCCCACACCCTGAACCCGATATACCTGTATGAGTGACTTAACTCAATTTCATTAACAGCACCAGATAGTCAACGAAAAGTCCCTATTACTGCCCATGTTGCATTTCTGCAGGTCCTGGGGGTGCTCCTTTTTTTTAGAACCCTGCAGATAAACCCACTATATTACTTCTGTAACATGCAACTTACTATAGTAGTTCCCATAGTATTTTCCATTCCCCATGTACCCCAATCCCCAAACCCTAAGCCTTAAACCCTAGGCCCTAAACCCGAATCCCTCAACCCTAAGCCTCAAACCCTAAGCCCTAAACCTTCTACATGCTTTGTTGAGGCTGACGCTCCTGCTCGTGCTGCGGGTCTTTGGCTGCCTCCTTGCAATACAATGTCAGGCTTAGGGCTATACATGGAGAGCCAGGGGAACTCATAGCACTAGAGTTTAGAGTTTAGTGTCTGAGTATTAGGGTCTAGGATTCAGGGTTTAGGGTTTGGGGTGTAGGGTTAAGGGTTTAGGACTTATATAGGGTTTGGGGTTTAGGGTTTAGGATCTAGGGTTTAGGGTCAACGTGATTGAGTAGGTAGGTGAATCATTGGGATAGCTGCAACTACTACATAGCACATAGAGGGTACTGATGAAAAAGAGCCCCGTAACCCTTCAAGTGTGGTGACCCAGGGCTTCCAAGAGCCCAGGCATAGTGTCTTGTAAATCTTACTGGATGCTGGCTATGTGTATATACACTCCAAGATACATCTCTTAATCTAAGGGCTTTACAAGCTCTGGGCAGAGTCCCATAATTAGCGTTTAAGGCTTGCAGAAGGTAAAATTTAAGTTTCAAAGCCCTAAACCTCTGGATCAGATTCACCCACAGCTCTGACACGAACCGTCTAAGTTCAAGCCTGCTGCTGTCAAATGTTCATTGGATCCCACCCAGTTTGGGGTTTAGGGGGTCAGGGCTTAGGGTTCAGGGGTTTAGGGTAAACCCTAAAGTTCTAACATCCCTTAACCCTAAAACCTAAACACTAAACCCTAAACTCTAGGGATGTTTTGTTGGATCCTAAACCCTAAACCTACTAGCCGCAGCCAGACACAGCATCCTAGGTCCTAGATGCTCGGTTCAAAAGCAGTATGAGATCAGACGGTGCAGGGTTTAGGGACGAGGGTTCAAGGCTCAGCTTCAGCTCAGGGTTTTTTCGGTTGGGTACTGCCCCCACCCAGTAACAGTCTATATGAGGGGTCCTATTAAGGCCTATATATAACCCTAGTAAAAAAAATTATCCAACTGTTACTGAGGGCGGGCAGTACCCAAGGTTGAGGGTTGAGGGTTAAGGGCTAAGGGTTTAGAGCTACGGTCTTAACTCCCAGTATGCCCCTTAATATCCCCTCTAATACAGGGAAATATAAACACCCTTAAGCAGTTTAGATTATAGCTCATTCAGGGTTGAAGGAACTTTGTAAGCACTACCCCGAAGCTCCGGGTCTCTCAAATCAATGGCATTTGAGAAGGTGAGTTGATACAAATCCTGCATGGGCTTAGGGGTTAGGGTACTTAGGGTCATACAGGATCGTTCAGCCTCAGCTGTCATGCGTGCCCTCAAAACCCATGCTGGAATCTCCCCAAAAGCCAAACACTTCCCTAAAAGCTCAGGAATTTGTGGTTTAGTTTGTGTTTACCATATGAGCTGCTGTCATATTTCCCCAGGTATTTCATGGACATGGGTTCCTTGTTAGGGAATATCTTCGGGACTCTTCTACAAAAAGGGACCTCCATATCCACCCTTACTGGTTCCTTGGTAAGCCTCATGTTGACAACAGCTAGGTTATGCAGGGGTTATGTAGGGATCACAAAAGTTGGCGAAAAAATGGTCGCAAAACTTCTGATGATGATATAGGGTATATTATGCGTCTTTTATTTATGCGCTTTGCAAGTTCCAAGCACCAGCCCGTACGTAGGGTCAAAGTATCCGATAAACGCGGTCTAGGGTTTAGGGTGTCCTCAAAGCCTTGCACTAGAATTGCTTATATGTAGCCAAGTCCACCCCCTAGGTACCAGGACCCTAAACTCTAAACCTCAAACATTATGCCCCCATATATTCCTATATACCCCCAATGCAGCTGTGTATATCCCTATACCCCCTTCAAAGGGACCCTTCCTAAGCACTCTAAGCCCTAAACCCTAAACTCTATTGGGGTACTTGGAGAAGTAGATGAAAGCCTCGTTCCGGTAGCACTTGGGTAGCGAAGATGGCTCTGCCTTGTCATTTCCCAGAATTTTAAGGTTTAGGGCTTAAAGGTTAGGGGTCAAGATTTAGGGTTTTAGGGTTTAGGGCTTTGGTCCGTATCCATTTTATGTACTTACAGCCCTGACAATGGAGAATCAAAAGGACAATCCAATGGACGATGAGCTGGAAACTGGGCTTTTATAGCGGTATGTAGGGACTTCAGGGTTATTGCCGTTATTGTACTTATACTCGGAGGTTAAGTGCAGATATGGATACCGTAGGGAGGTTTAGAGGCTTGAGGCTTGAGGATTCAAGTTTAGGATATAGGGTCTGGGGTGCGCAGTGTTGACTTTAACGACTACTTGCTGCCGGCATCCAAGGGACCAGCGTAGTTTTGGTGTTTGACCAAGCAATATTGAGTTCTTCATATTACGTAAGGTACTATGCCCCAAAGTTGGATATAATCTTACGCTAAAGTGGGCACCATAGAACTCAAATACTACTCAAATGTACTCCTGTAGAGGTTTGGGGTTTCAACCTATATGAACCGCACATATCCCGGTCAACATTTCCCCTATGATGCACAGACATGAGTTCTGTTAGGAATACATGAAGGACTATACTATTGAAGCAAGGAAACTCCATGTCCACCCTTTATGGCCCCTTGCTAAGCCCTATCTGGACAGTGATTCACAAAATCCAAATAAAGCACGATATAATCCCAGTTTCCATGTGATTGTTGTTTTTTCCGCCTGATTCTCCACTAGCGAGGTAAAATCCTGACGCCTACGCCCCAAATAATATGACAGCTTCCATTTTTCGATTCCTTTTTGCCACATTTTTCCCCAGATACACCTAGAAGCGAAATAATATGTAAGCCCAAAACTCCAATCGAATTGAACAGTTAGTTCACCAGACAAGGCCAGAACCAGAGACCCTGTTTTAGGGTTTAGGGCTTAAGGGTTTAGGTTTCAAGGGTTTCGGTTTAGGGTCAAACAGCTTAGGAAAAGTTAACACATCCAAGCCCGCGCACAAGTTGTCAGCAGTCACAACGTGCTGTTGGGTCCTCGTCGTGGACTCGCGTGGACACTATCTAAACCCTAAACCCTAAACCCTTTTTACTTCTGGAACCCACAAACCTTAAACTTGCAAACACCTGGGTCCGCGGCCTCCGACTTGGGCGCAACGCATTTCGAGGTGCCGTAAGGCGGCCTTAAGCTTGCAGAGCGATTTACTCATTGATTGTTAGTACGGAATACGGAGATGCAATCCCTAGATGTATAAATATATATATATATATTGTTTTTATAATGCATGCCCTTTTTCCCTGCTAACCTCCAGCAGGTTTCGGGCTTAGGGCTCAGGATTGGCCTCAAAAGAAGCGATTTAGGTGCTAACTGACGGTGTTTGGGCTCCATAGAGGGTACCTGGGCGGTCTAGGTAGGTTGTCGGCTCAGGAGTTACAATTTGAGGGTCTAGATTTGATTCAGGCTTAAGGTTTACTGACCTCAAAGGTAAGTAAAATGATGTCTC